CCCATGCATACTGATGTTTATCTGAATTCAAATTTAACTGGACATCCTATATTTTTATTTGTTAAATCTGGCAACCCTAGACCCATGAGCAAGTCACTTCACCTCTCTGAACCCCAATTTCTTTACCTTTGAAAATGAATAAAAATTCTACCCTATGAGGATACCGTGTAAATTAAATGGGATGATATATGTAAAATGCCCAACCCAGGGGAGATCGCCTTCACAGGGCCCATAGCCCTTTCATGCTCCTCTCCCTTTCAGAGTCCCTGTTTTAGACCCCCCCACGCCACACCGCCAGTGGACCACCTTCAGAAAGGTTTTCAATATGATAGAAATACCTCTACCACTGACTGGCTGTGTGACCTTATGAGAATCACCCTCTCTGAGCCTTGGTTGTCTTGTATTAAGCACTGGTAGCCAGCCTAGTGGTTGGGCTTACTAAGGAGTGATGGTTAACACCTTGCAAATGCACCAAGACACAGCTCCAATTTTAAAACACCCCAGGACAGCAGTGCTTACTCCATGGAAAGAATGGGTAACTGGAATTTCAGGCCAAGTGAGGGGCAGATCAGGGAGATCGTTTCTGCATGGTGGCAGCGGGGTGGGGGGGGGTGGTGTTTCCCTTGCGTCTGTGTGAGCTCCTTGGAAGTGGGCATCATTCTGACCTTCAAGGTGTCACGTTTCCCAGCTGTGGTGTCCCGATAGCCCTCAGAACCCAGGGCAGGGCCACCCCAAATCAGAGGCAATCTGTCCTTGCACTCTCCCACCGCCTGTTCAGTTTGTATCCCTAATTCTGTTAATACTCTTAATCTTTTTACATCTCACCCACCTGCATGCTTGGCAGCTTCCATTAGCGCCTTTCCCGCTAGATCTGCCTGTTGGGAACTTCTCCTGGGGCTCCACCTGACCCCTGGAAGGAAGGAAAGAAGGTGTGGCTGCTTCCCTCTGGGTGTCCAGGATGCTGGGCTTCAGCAGGCCCCAGCAGTTACAGGGGGCTTGTTTTCTTCCTATTTTTCTTCACCTTCCCCCAGTGAAATTGCTTTTGCCTTCTTTTGTTTTCCTTTTACATTTTCTTTCCCAAACTTCTCAACTAGAACTGTACCCAGGTGCCCTGACTGGCAGGTAGGGGAAAGAGGAGAAGACAGGACATTTGCTAAGTGCCTACCTGGCACCAGGGGCAAGTCACACAGATCCAAAGCCTCATCACAGTTGGAGGGGTCAGTTGTCACCCCCAAACACAGAAGTTCTCTCATGCAAGAGCACACAGCAAACGGAAGGCGGATGCTGAATTTGAACCCATGCTGCCTCTCATCTCCCCAACAAATTATTTGTTGTTTACAGTCCCCTCCATTTTTCATAAAACAATCCCCTAAAGCGCTTTTATCTGCCGAGAGAGGCAAAGAATGAAGAATGTGAGCTGAAGACATGTGGCAGGCTCTGACAGCTCCCTCCCCAATTCCCAACCCACCCTGCCAACCTTGCCAACAAGAACCCTGATCTTATTGGGTGGTGAAGAAGGCCCAAGAGGCGGGGAAGGATTTAGCCCCAAAGAAGAAAGACCTGTGATTAAGACAATCTCCATAATAAAGAGCAAGGGGGAGTGGAATGGGAAGGGGGGAGAAGGAGAAAAAGAGGTTCAGGCGGAGGGTCCAGGAGGTTTGTGGGTTTTTTTGAGGGGGGGGTGTTGAAGAGAGCGATGCGTGCAGGGCAGTGGATGGGGGGGACGGGGTATGGGTGTGAACTCTGTGCCTCCTTCATGGTGTGCAAACAGCACAGCAGAGAACTGAGTGCATGGGGGCTGCAGAGGCAGAGGGGGGCTTGTAGGAGAACGTTCTTAGCAGCTCAACTCATCATGATCAAAAATACCCACCAATGGGGAAGGGCGTGATGAGATGTGATATATGCACTTACACTACTCAGCTATAAGAAACGGACAGACACACACATGGAGGGGGGTGAGATCGAGCCCCGCTGGGCCTGGAGGCTGCTTAAGATTCTCTCTCTCCCTCTCCCTCTGCCTCTCTTTCTCTCTCTCTCTCTCATAAAAGAAAAAGATCTCTGCATTTTACTGTATGTAAATTATACTTCAATTTTTTTGATTAAAAAAAGAAATACGAGAACTTCAGAGCCATGTTCTGTAACAGTTGACAATCTGCGTTTTGCCTAATAAGACTCAGAGAGACAAAGAGCTACAAATCCCAATTTCAATAAGGTAGCAGATGCTACCATCACCCTAGACCCTCAAGAAGCCTATTTCTGGAGTGAGCATGGACAGGGAGAGCTGAATGGACCTGTCTTCCCCAAGTCTGCCTCTCACCCCATGAGCCCCTCATGGTCTAAACTTCTCAGCAGTGCGTGGTCCCAGTCTTTCAAGATTCCGTTCTTGTTTTGGAGGGTGAGGGGGATATCCATTAGCCAATTGCTACCCTACTGAAGAAAGAGAACTCTGTTCTAACGTCAAAGCCAAAACTGATAGTGCAGGACTATAGCGAAGTGATAATATGGTCTCCAACATGGCGCTTTCCTAATATTCTTTTTTTCCCAGTGGTAATACTGGCCATTTACAATTTTTGCCTAATATGCTGATTTTTGGAACCCAACCCTTGGGTGAGATGTGACTCCACCATAAAGAATTCGAGTGATTTAAAAATTGTGTTTTGGTTATTGCTTAGACTCCTAACTACACCTGGGCCTCACGGATCATGACTCTACAGGAATTACAGGGCCTCTCATCCCCCCACCTCCCCCACCTCCCGCACTCCTCCCACCCTCCCCACCTCCCCCAACCCCACTTCTCTCCTCCAGGATCCAAGCTCTGGAGGAAAAGGAAGAACACCATCCATCCCTTCTGACTGAAGGTGTCTCTGATGTGACATTCACAGGGCTATCGGTGACCCATTTACTTTCACACTGATACGTTCATTACTATCGATGGCTTTTATTTCTTTGGAAGCGTTTATACTCTTGCAACAGCCTGATAAGTAAAATCATCCAATACTTGGAAATAAGGCAAATAGATAACCGGTGTCCTTTCAAAGTCAAATTAAAACATTGTCTAACAAGCCCTTCTAAGGGTCATCTGACACTCTAGGGGAATGTCACTTTGCTTGACTTATTATTTGCTATTGATCAGGGCCCAGGCTCTGTAAAGATCGCTGTTAGCTGGTAGAAAACTGATAAGTTGCCAATTATTTTTGTCTGGTAGAGAAATCATGCAAATGATAATAAAGAAGATAACCCCCAACATTATGATTTTATTGCCCTATAAACATTCACCAGTTTTGCATCTAACTTAGCAACCTTATGAATATTCCAGAATTCTAGTTTTTGGGTTATTGTTGTTTTTGTCTTTACTAAATCTCTCTCCTCTCTCTATATATAGGTACATATAAGTGTTTTCTTCTCGTATCCTTCGTTGAACTAGCTTTGTCATCCTGCTGGTTCCTTCATTAATAAGCTACACACAAAAAATTCACATGTGCTTACTATATATTTCTATAAGAATGGTGTAGTCACAATTTTGAAAACTATACTTTGAAAAGCTTTTCATAGTATTTGGTTTTTCCTCATGCTGACTCTCCCACTTTCTTTGTGAACTCGGGCAAGTATTGCTGTCTCTGGTCTTTAGTTTCCTCAGCTGTGAAATGGGAGCCATCAGGCTGGCCCTTTTGGCTCCAACACGTGATATTTCTAACCCCTCTTGCAGGGAAGCAAGACTGACATGCTGCAGTCAGAGAAGATGGGTGCTGGGAGGGGTGTTACAGGACGCAAACTTACTGCCTCCCACCACTCCCTCACCTTGAGAGATGGGGGTGAGGCTCGGACTGATTAGGTAACTTGCCCAAGGTCACACAGATATTATTAATAATGATGACTTATTTTAATGTGGTGTTTGACAGTATCAGCTTCTCCGTAGGATCCCTTAGTGGCCCAATGAGGAGGCTATATCATCCCCATTTTACAGATAACGAAACTGAGGTCCAGAGAAATGATGTGGCTTGCCCGAGGTTACACAGTGACTTACATGTGGGCACAGCCTGTGAGATTCCTGCTCTCCTAACCTCCTGAATCCCTGGGAGCAAGAGAGGGGCTGACAGGAGTTGCTCTGGGCCCCCACTCTTATCCACGGAACCCCCATTTGTATCTGACAGATACATACTGGGTGCCACACAGGATTGCAAATGAAAAAGGAGTCCCAGAAGCTTGAAAACCCTGGCCCTAGACCATCTTCATCTGCCCATGTCAATAGCCTTCAGTTTTCCCCTCCTCCTCTTCCCTTGGAGGTGGGGGTGGGGGGATGGTCATGGGAAGAAACAGAAAGACTGAACATATCAGTCTCCAGCCTGGGGAGACAGAGTAGCTAAATCTAAAGTGTGCTCAGGGTCCAAGCTGGTGAAGTGAGGTGGGCCGACAGGTAGTGAGCACCCTGTCAGCAAGAGTAAGTAAGGCTAGATGATCCAGCCAAAGGGTAACTCTTTAGATGGTAGCATTTATGGGCTTTTGTTGCTGTTTTTTAAATTTGATAAAAGCTAATTATGAAGTGTTCCTCACGTGCCAAGTGTTTTTTATGTATATTATGTCATTGAAACTTTATAATACTCCGATGAGGTAGAATCTGTTGTTCCCAATTTATGAATAAGAAAACCGAGGCTCCAGGAGGTTAAGTAACTTCCCAAGGGCAACTAGGAAGTGGCAGGTCTAGAAAGCTGATTACTAAGCTTCTCCTCACTACCGCACTGTCCTTTGTGTTTTTCTGTATTTTCCAAGCTTTTGACAATGAATACATGTTGCTTTCATAATCGTGAAAAAGTCTTACAAGTTACTGACTTTCAAAAAAACCCCATCTGCCCTGATGTTCTGTGTTTCCCTGGTTCTCATACCCCACCCAGGACCCCCTCCTTGGCCTCCGTCCTTGCAGACTCCCGCCTTGCTGTCCCTGCCCCCACACCAGCTTGCGTGCGTGGGCAGGGAGAAGGGGGGACGTCCAGTGTCCCAGTCTTGCTGAGGTCTGCTCAAACTGTCTCCGGGAGGCCTCTGGCCCCTGGGGCATGGCGGGGCGGCCCAGGGAAGGAGAAGAGGAAGTAGGAAAGGATGTGAAACTTGGCCACAGCCAGGCAGGCACCACCCCTGCTGGGTGTCCCACAGCGGTCCCTGGGCCCCTGGGTGGAGGACAGGAGCATCCAGCTGAACTGTCGCCCAGCTGAGGCAGGTAAGGCCAGCGCCCGAGGAGGGGGGAGGGGGCTGTGAAGTTCAGGGAGCCAGGGGAGCTGGCCTAGGGGGCTAGACTACAAAGGCAGGAAAGGGAGAACACTGACCCAGGGTTCTGGGCCAGGACAGAGTTGGCGGGGTGTGGGGGGGCAGGGGAGCCCTGATCCAGGACCTCTTCACTCCTAGATTTGGGAGATAGTGGGAGGTGGTGACATAGACCCATCCCCTCTAACCAGAGTTCCTGGGTTTGGACGCCCCACCAAAAAAAACACAAGAAGCTGGAGAAAGGGTGGGAGTGTCAGAGCCAGCACAGGGGTCCCATAGAGGGTCCGGTGGGTGCTGAAAGGGGCTGAGTGTGTAGGAGAGTGAGCACACGTGTTGTGTCAGGGGGCTGTGAATTCCTGTGTGTACGCACAGCTCTGCCATCTGGGTGAGAGAGTGTTAATTAAATAAGGAGTAGGCGCTCAATAAATATTTGTTCAATGGAATTGATCATCTGTAGGAGTATATGAATGTGGGTGTCTGGCCAAGTGAGAAATGGGGTCTATTTGGGTGTCAATTTGTGCATCTAGGAGTGTGTAGTGGATTTTGAGTTTGCTCACTGTGTTTGTAGGTGTGGGATCAGAGGCTAGGTTTGTGCATCTAAGTGTGTAACTCTGTGGGTGTGCTCAGTTTATGGGTATCTGTGCAAATTTCTGGTTCTTCATATATGTGTGGGGTCACTGGAGCTGGGTGGAAGGCAGACATCGAAGGCCTTTGAGGTGTGTATGTGCCTCGGTGGTGGGGGGATGTGTAGATATCACTGTAGGTGTGGGATTCAAGTGTACGTACGAGACGGGTGTGTGTGAGTGTGTGAGGTCTAGCCCTGCCCCATGTCTCCATAGTGGCATCATGGAGGCCCCGTGGGGCTGGCTGGTGGTCTGTGTGCTGGCCATATCCCTGGCCTCTACAGTGACCCAGGATGTGTGCCGAGCACCGAATGGGAGGAATGGGGCTGCAGGACCACCCGGCCGAGACGGACGGCCAGGCCTCAAGGGGGAGCAAGGGGAGCCCGGTAAGCCCGTCCCTCTAGACCCCAGCCCCTCATCCCTTGGCTGGGCCTGGCCTCCGGGTGGAGGCTTGGGGGTGGCACCAAGAAGCAGGAATCCACCTGGGCCCCTGCGTGAAGCCCCTACACTCTGCACTTGGTCCCAGGGGCCAAGGGGAACCTAGCCTCCTCCCTCAGCATGTCCCCAGGCTGCCAGGCCTCTCCGTATATCCCTTCCTGCTTGAGTCCTCTTTCTCACGGACCACCACAAGCAACAAATGTGAAAGGTCTTGGAGCAGTGCACAGTCCTGGGTTATTGTTCAGTTACCAGAATGAATAAGGCGCTAGCCTTTAGACAGAGGAGACTCATCTTGCTGTGTGACCTTGAGCAAGTTACTGACCCTCTCTGAGCCTCGGTTTCCTCGTCTATAAAACGAAACAATAAACCCACCTGGCACATAGAAAGGATTAATTCATGGCAACTATCCTTCTTGCTTCCTTCCAGGTCCCCCCCGCCACCCAACTCTGTCCCTGCTTCCCCATTCCCAGCCCCTTCCGGCTTCAGAAACTCACATTCTAGAAAAAAGGTTGGGGGTGAAGGAAAAGGGAGGAGGACATGCTCAGAGCGGAAAGGGAAAGTCTCAGTCCCCTTGAGCCTCCCAGTCCATAGCAGACCAGTAAGATCTGCATAGACATTTGCAATAATTGGCATCCAGGCCTCCTAAATGTAGCTGAAGAAGTCAAGGGCAGTGGCCCAGCGGGGTGTGGAGGACACAGCCATGGGCAGGGCCCAGCGGAGGAACCCGTGTCCTGTTTTTGCCAGAACCTGACAGCTTCCAAGTACCTGTTCCCACTTTTCTCCACTTTAGAGATAAGGAAGCTGAGGCTCAGAGGTTGAAACACTTGCCCAAGGTCACACAGCCAGCCAGAATCAAGGTCTTGAAGGCCCAGGCACTCCCCCATCCTCTATCCCACAGCAGTCAAGAGTCCCAGCTATCTCCCTGAGGACTGGTGGACACTGGACTCCCCCTCCAGATCTGGCCTTTCTCCCCACAGGGGCTCCTGGCATGCGGACGGGCATCCGAGGCCTTAAAGGAGACCAAGGGGACCCTGGGTCCCCGGGAAGCCCTGGCAACATGGGCTTCCCTGGGCCCAGTGGCCCCCTGGGGCTCCCTGGCTTCCCAGGACCGAAAGGCATCAAGGGCAACCCAGGAAACATCAAGGACCAGCCACGGCCGGCCTTCTCAGCCATAAGGCGGAACCCACCAATGGGTGGCAATGTGGTCATCTTCGACACGGTCATCACCAACCAGGAAGGCCCATACCAGAACCACACGGGCCGGTTCCTCTGTGCTGTGCCCGGCTACTATTACTTCACTTTCCAGGTGGTGTCCAAGTGGGACATCTGCCTGTCCATCGTGTCGTCTGGGAGGGGCCCGTTCCGGCGCTCCTTGGGCTTCTGTGACACCAACAGCAAGGGAATTTTCCAGGTGGTGTCCGGGGGTATGGTTCTCCAGCTACAGCAAGGGGACCAGGTCTGGATTGAAAAAGACCCCGCCAAGGGCCGCATTTACCAGGGTTCTGAGGCGGATAGCGTCTTCAGCGGCTTCCTCATCTTCCCGTCCATCTGAGCCCGGGGAAGGACCCTCCCGCCCCTGGCCGCACATGCTTCCTGCTGTGTGACTCTGGCCCACTCCCTCCACCTCTCTGGTTTCTATGGTCTGCTCTGTATGGGGGTGCTGTTGCTTTAGCTGTCTGAGGGAGAGGGCTGGCTCCCGGGGCCCCGAGAACTTGCTGCCCACTGCACAGTGTAAGAAGATGGATTTCTTAGAATTCTTTCTAGAATAAACACCTGAGTCCGTGTGTGCTGAGCCTCAGGTTCGGTTGCTACGCTGGACGCTGAGAGGGAGCATAAGAATGACAGTGTTGAGTGCTTACAAGGCAGGCCCATATTTTGTATTTTACAACATGTATTTAGCAGGTCCTGGGAGCCTCATCGGCCTGGGTTCAAATCCTAGGGCCACCACTTACCAGTTGGCCAACCGTGTGTGTATGATATAACTTCAGGGAACTCAGTTTCCTTATCTGTAAAACGGGAATAACAACGGCACTTCCTAATCAAAGGCTTGTTGGGAGGATTGAATGACTTAGTACATGAAAACTGCAGAGCAGTGCCTGATTCATAGTAAGGGCTATGGAAGTTTGAGCTATTACTGTATTTTGTTTAATCTGTACAGCTGAGGGGTGAGGCGGGTATCACGACCCTACTTTCCGGATAATGAAGCAGGCTGGAGCGTGGGGGTGGACATAAAGCCCAAGGTCAGTGTTGAAGAAGAGGAGTTGGGATTTGAACCCGGATCTTACTGGTACCCAAGCCTGTGTGTGTGTAACTGTGACCCTTGCCAGCCCCCACAGCCACATGCCTGACAAGTGACACCTGCTTGTCAACCCTGAACCAGCGGGCAAGACTCAGAGATGGGGAGCAGTTGGCCCAAGCCAACCTGACCCAAGTCCTCCCCAAAGCCAGGTTTCCTGAGTCCAGCCCTGGGCTTCCCCCTGAGCAGGCATAGAGGCTGGGGCTGCCTCCCTCCTGGGCTGGGCACCCCTCCCGGGCTAGGACTGAGAAGGTCTGGAGCACTCATGGTGCCTATTCCCAGGGTCCCACTTAGCCTGTCCAGAGCTGCTCAGAGGCAAGAAGCCCTACCATGTCCTTTGAATGTGAAGACAATAAGGAGCCCGGGAGTTCAGTCCTGAGGATGTCTAATGCCCTGTGCATTTTCCCAAAGGAAACCACTTGTGCCCTCTACACACACCACACATGCACACTCGTCTCCCGCGAGATGCACGTGGACCCACATTCCCGGACTGAGACCTGCCGACTCCCCACTGAAACACGGCACAGTGATCCCCTCCCTCAGCACATACCCAAGCCGCTCCCTGACGCCCCGTGCACAGCCCTGGACATGCACACTCGTTACACCTTCAAACGCACAGACATACTTGGGGTGTACGTGCTGTCGTACCCAGGTGCTCCCTGCCTCAGATACCCGAGTGCCCCTCCTAAACTGTCAGAAGGACACACACAAACACACACACACACACGCAACCTTGTGACATGCATCCCAGACACACCCCTGCCGCGCAGGTGCACACGTCCTCCTCACCCTCCAACACGCATGTGCCTTAGAAATGCCCCGGTTCTCTCACCCGCTGACCCTCACACCCGCTCGCGCTCCCACTGGGCCATTCTCTGAGCCACAGGAACGGTCTCTCCCACCTACTGACTGACACACGGGCAGCCTGGGAGTCCTCACAAACCCATACCTCCCCCCTCCCCAGGCCTCTGACAGACTCCCAAGACCCTCTCCTGGGGCAGGGCTGCCCCACCAACAGCTTCTGGGGGTCGGGAAGAAGAGGGTGACCCCGCTGCAGCCCCAGCTCCGAGCTGGCCTCCTCCGGCCCCTCTGCCTCCTTCGGGCCTCCGCTCTGCCCCAGCTCTCCGCCTCCCTGCCCAGAATACACGCTCCCATGGACCAGGAAATGAAACAGATCTTTGAGCACCTACGATGTGCTGGACATTTCGTAGCCACTGATGCACTGAATCTTAGCAATCCCTCTTAACTGAGGCTCAGAGAAAGGAGATCCCTACCCACGGTCACACTGCTAGAGAGTGGCAGGACCTAGATTTGAACCAGCTCTGCCTGACCCCAAAGTGGGGAGCTCCTTTCATTGCAATGGGACTCGAAGATGTCAGGAGTGCAGCCCCTGTAAGTGGTGGGAGAGACCAGGCTAGAGAAACGTGAGCGCAGGGAGTGTCTGGTTGCCCCTTATCCTAAATTCCACCGAGATGCACCCCCCGCCCCGTCCCCGCCCCCAGCCTCCCTGAGGCAAATCGCTGGCCAGGCCTGGAGGAGGGGAACAGGCTCAGGCGGAGTTGGAGCCTGGCTGCGGGGCAAGGCAGGCTGAGCATGGGCCGAGGCTGCCACCTGCTGGACAACACAGACCCAGGCACAAACAAGCTGAGAACGGAAGATGGGGGGCCCCCCACCAAGGCTGTGTCTAGTTTTTGCTCTTCCCAGCCCTCCCCCTGCTGGGGACTTCCGAGGCCAAGTTCATTCACATCCTTACTCTCAGCCCACACTCTGCAACCCTGGGCCACAGGGTGGAGGGACAGATGGGGAGACCGAGGCCCTAAGGGTCACTTGGTGGGCAGGGGCGGAGCTGTGAACTCCTGCTCCAGGCTAAGCACTGCACATGCCTCATGCGCTGGGTCCTCACCACTGCCCTGCATGGGAGTGATTGGAAACCCCCATATACGGAGGAGGAACCGATGCTCAGCGAAGCCGAAGGCCTCACCCTGACGGACACCGGTGGCAGGTGGGGGGTCAGGGTTGGAACCCTCAACTGCTCAACAGCCCCTTCCTCCTCAGAATGTCATAGGAGCAGAAGAGGAAGAGAGGAGAGGAGCCTCTCCCGGCCCTGCCAGCCTGGCCCCAGCCCCCAACCCTGCACCAACCATCACAGACTCCAAGACCAGATGCAGGGGTGCCAGAGATGGATCATCAGGGGCCCCAGCAAAGGAAGAGGCACCCACACACAAAGCCTGGGCCTCCCCCACCACCCAGTATACAGATGGGAAGACTGAAGCCTAGAGTGGTTTGTGGAGGGCCTCAGAGCAAGGGAGTGGCAGGGCCGGAAGGAGATCCGAGGACACTGACTCCATAGCAAGAGTCTGTCCACCACAGCAGGCTGCCTGCTGTCGAGTCTTGCCCATCCTGGGTGTCCACTCCCAAGTGTAACAAATGAGGGGGGCAAATGGAAGATTCTAGAATAAAGCCTGCCACTTGACAAGTGTGTGTGAGGCTTGTTTCTGGGAGCAGCTAAGCAGAGGGGTCAGAGCAAGGCTTTGGACCTTAAGAAACCATTTACACGTGATTTTTGGTAAGGGCTTTCACCACCTGAGACTCAGTTTCTTCATCTGCAAAGGGGGTTATAACTTCCTCCTAGGGACATTGTAAAACAGCTGTCTCAGGCACAGTAAATCCCAACAAATGGGGTTGGGCTGAACTGGACACACACACACACACACACACACACACACACTCCCTCCAGCAGATCCGGGGCAGTGGACATTTCCTCATTTCAGACATGCATGACCCTAGGGTGGGGAACACAGGGGCATCGCTGCGGTCAGCCGGGCTCAGTACCCAAAAGAAAGTATTGAGTCAGGACAAATTATGGGAAAGGGGATGTGGGATTGGGGGCAGGGTGAGCAGAGGGGAGGGGGCCGCCCAGTCTGCTGTGGGCCCTCCTCGCTGTGTCTACTCTGACACGGTGTCTTCCTGCCCCAGAGAGGGGAAGCAGATTTGAGGACATCTCTGTGACCAGACCAGAATCCTGCCACCCCAGGTGAGGCCAAGAACCCCCCCAACCCCAGGTGAGGGCAAATGGCAGCTTCCCCCTACCGCCTCCCTGAAACATGGGGACAACTTGATTGGTGAGAGGAAGGAGGGTCCCCATCACTGAGAGCTAAGGGCCTGGGCTCAGAGAAGAGGTCCCATCCCCCATCCATCCTGCAGTCCCAAACCCCAAGGGGCAAGGGGCCTGGGGAAGGGAGGTAGGCTCCGGGGGGCTGAGAAGGACCGGCCTGGGGAACAAGAGAGTGAGGAGGGTGGATGAGGGGCTGGGTGGGCCAACTCAGCTCTCTCCCCGCCCAGATCCTTCCCCAGGATGGACATGGGGTCCAGCTCCCGGCCCCGCCTTGGACTAAACCTGATGCTGCTCCTGCTGGCTTTGCCACTTGGGAGCCGGGCCAGCACAGGCTGCTACGGGATCCCCGGGATGCCAGGCCTACCAGGGGCCCCCGGGAAGGATGGATACGATGGATGGCCGGGGCCCAAGGGTGAGCCAGGTGAGTCTGCCGGCCTGCTGGGAAAGGGTCACCTGAGGCCTGGGGACAGCGGGCAAAGTGTCCATCTGGGGCTAAGCTGGGGGGAGGAGGACAGCGACCTGTTGGCAAGACTCCCAGAGCACAGTCCAGCTTTCCTGGCAGGTGTAGCCCATTTCTTCTCAGAGCCCAGGACTCGGTCCTCCCTGTTCCCCAGTTTTGTGCCTCAGGGTCTTGTCTGACACCAGGGAGCAAACAAGAGCACCCGTGCCAGGACGTGGCAGGGAGGATCACAGGAGATGATCCTGAAGACCTTTGGCAAACTCTAAAGTGCTGTGCTCTTTTTTTTTTTTTTTAAAGATTTTATTTATTTATTTGAGAGAGAGAGAATGAGAGAGAGCACATGAGAGGGGGGAGGGTCAGAGGGCGAAGCAGACTCCCTGCCGAGCAGGGAGCCCAATGTGGGACTCGATCCAGGGACTTCAGGATCATGACCGGAGCCGAAGGCAGTCGCTTAACCAACTGAGCCACCCAGGCGCCCTAAAGTGCTGTGCTCTTTGATTACAGCCCCTCTACCCCCTGCCCTGCAGCATGGACTTCTGGGGGGTGGGGCCCACACAGTGAGTGTCCACAACACACAGATGGCCAGGGTTCAAATCCCAGCCCTACCACTTCCCTGTGCGAAGTGCCTCAGTGTCTTCATCTGTCAAATGGGGAGATGGTAGTACCTAGTGCATAGGGGTGCGGGGATGATTAAACAAGTTGAAATGTAAAACGGCACCGCGCACACGGTAAGGTCTCGGGGATGCAGACGCTGTGCATGTTATAGCTGGTATTGTTTTTATCGGAGATCTGTGCTCACCTCCATCCCCCTAGTTGGGGGCATGGGGAGTGAGAAGTCAGGATTGCAGAACGATGAGCAAGTCCTAGCGTGAGCAAAGGGGGCTGAGGACATGAGGGGGTGCGGGTGCTGGGCAAGCGCTG